TACATTAGTGTCGCCTTATGCAATGATCATCTTATGTTTCTTCGAATTTGTAGACTGTAATGAGGCCGGTGTGGTTCCATTTTTAAGAAGCAACCAACTCGAAGTTACTTTGAGTGCACTTCTACCGACTATGTACTCCAACTCATCAACATCGAACTGTCAACGCCCCCGCTTAAAGGAGCTCATGTGTTTGGCCCCTAAAAAACATTCGAGGAAGTCTCAAATAACAAACGCATAAATAATAAAAATAGTCTGCGGGACAGACACGCATGAGTAGTCTTAGGCAGACATTGTGGCAAGGACATGGAACGCAAAAATTTTTTGGTTGCCAATTTCACATGACTATTATCGGCATTTTTTCTATTGTCCTTGTTGGTTTAAAAATGTGCACATGGTAATGAATGGCATGTGCTATTCGCCGTGCGAGCAAAGGCCGCCGGTCAGGACCTCATGCTAGGCTTGGAGTTTTCCGCACATATGGAAAACGATGGAATTTTTAACTAGGCGCAGGCGCACAGCGCACAGCGCTCGTCCCTTTTCGGGTCTGCAAATGAAATGAAAACAATGCATGTGGGTGTCGCAGTTGCAGCACAGGACATGCATCGCAAGGAATGCCAGGGATGTGAGCATTGCATATGCATATTATTTTCTTTGTGTCCCTCTGCAGTCGTCTCAGTCGTTGCCATTGACTTGAAGTAGGCGCCGCCTTACACTGTTCGATGTAATGGTCTCGCTTTCTGACTGCTGACTATGGAAAGGATCGGAGCTATGCCATAGCCATCAAATATACTCGTAGTTGCTGCAATGGCGTGGGTCATTGGCAATGGCAGGCCCTTTACGGACAATGGGCGTTTAAAACAGCAATAGGAACACGACCCATCAGCAGCTTCACTGCATTTCTTGTTTAATAAGAATTAGATTTTCTGTAGAAGCATTCAAAAGCAGAGAAAACGGGATATAAATAAAAGGGTACCGGAAATAAAAAGTGATAGCTATTTCTGAATTGATCAAAGTTTGGGCATTACATTGTTTTTCAAATCAATACTCTTAAATATACAGCTCTATGTATTGTATTTAACGTCAAATGTAATTTTTTTTTATACTTTTCTCATTGATTACTAAATAAAATACCCATTCAAAAAAGGAAAGGTACATATATATACGTACTAGAGGCTCCATGTGTTTCGGTTCACTACACGCAATACATTTCAAAATAAAATTGTTTCTTGTGCACAAATCATCAATCAGTGCGCATAATTATTAATCGCACTAAGCTTTTTTGGTGTTTCTTAGAGAATATCTGGCCGCTTTGCTATTAAATGCTCCATCGTGCAAGACACGATCTTTATCGGGTATTTTCGTTGACAACACATGATCGACTCCATTAGACATAATTCTACTGATTAGCCAGATAAGAAAATGATGTTTTAAAAATGTAATGTAAACAAGAAAGGAATGCTAAAGTCGAGCAGGCTCAACTCTTAAATACCCTGTACCACCCCACAAAAAAGTAATTAAATTAATTAATTAATTTAATTAAATTAATTAACTAAATTAATTTAATTAATTAACTAAATTAAATATAAAATATTCCATGCATTCATACATACATTTACATTTACATCAGAATCGTGCCTTATGCGTGTTTGTGTACTTGTACATATGTATGTGTGCATTGGGTCTGGTTATATGGCTATAACTTTCTTTCCGATCATTCTATCATAATGAAACTTGGTATACGGATATATAAACACTAACCTAATGCGACTACCAAATTTTAGTTCAAAATTATTATTATTATTCAAAATTACGGGAGTTATAGAAAACCGTTAATAGGAGGGGAGTGGGGGGGGGGGGGGGTGGATCTGAAAAAATGAACAAACTCGTCCTTTCTCGGTCTCAGAAGAATCTGTATACCAAGTTTAGTTATTCTAGCTCTTATACTTTCGGAGATCCTTGCGTTCATACAGACAGACTGACAGACAGACAGACAGACGGACAGGAGGACAGACAGACAGACAGACGGACATGGCTATATCGACTCGGCTTGTCATGCTGATCAGGAATATATATACTTTGTGGGGTCTACCAAGCCTCCTTCTGTGTGTTCCATGTGCACTCGCATAAAACTAATATACCCTTGTACCCTTTGGGTACAGGGTATAAAAATAGGAATATATTGCTTTTGTATCCTTGAGTGTTCTGTTCAACGCCTCAAGAGAATGTTTGTGTGCCAGATGATAATTTTACATTGTTTCAGCACTTGTTTCAATGGCAGCTTATATGCTGAATGAGCTGTTCTGCCAACATCCAATAAATGCCATACGATGCCATTATTTGATCGTATTTCGCCGAGAATTAGCGAAATGAAAAATGTTTTGCCAATTCCACCTGGTGCGCAAAATCCACCTTTCCACTTTTCGTTCATGGGTTAGTGTTGGGATATTGTGAGTAAGAATCGCTGCCCCTTTACTGCAGTTCACGATTAATTTCGGTGTCCATTAAATTAGATGCATTTCGATTTAGCGAACTCATTTCGACAATCGTACAACAACACTCTATTTCAGTCTGCATTTTTTCGGTTCACATACACTTTCGAAAAATTTTAAAGTCGCAGGGTACCATAGCGGTATGAAATATACTATATTAAGTATATACTATTCCTATGACCTATTCTCATACCTTCCAAATATACACACAAAATTTCCAAAAAATCGGTCGAGACGTAGAAGATCGATCACAAACACCGTATATCGAGATTTTTATTCACGTATACTAGATATATGAATTATACACTTTTGATGAAGTTACTGGCATTTAGATGAAAATGGAAGACCTTTGTACTTTGTACTCTGACAAATAAACGCATATTACAATTAATCAAATCATTTCCACATTTGGAGTTTGGAATAATGCCTAGAATAATAAGACTTATCTCAAAATATTCGAAGTATTGCAAGCAATTGTTTTTATACGAATAACGAGGGCGCCTAGTATGCGCGTAAACCTATTTTGGCAAGTTTCCTGAAATCATAAAAATGGGTTCTAGAGTTTCGTGACTCCATCAATTCACGTAATCCAGGAAAACAAAAGGGAAAACAATATCAAACTATTTATATAAGTGATGGATGGATGTTATTAGATTTATACAAAATACATATGTATTAGTTGGTTTCTAATAAAAATAACGATAAACGTGGTACCTATGTACATATTTTGATGTTTCTAGCTCCTACTTATAAAGTGAATATATAAGAGTGAAATACAGAGAGAGAGAGAGAGAGAGAGAGCGAAATAGATACAATGAAGCAGCGGGATAGGAAAGAATTATAATTTATGTTTGTAATGTAAAACCATGTTGTACATTTCCACATCATCTAAATCACAATCAGGAAAATCGTGTATCAAGCTAATATGTGGTCAGGAATTAAATTAAAATTCGACATAAGTCAATTATCGCACATATAGAACGCCTGCAACCAATAGCTCCTAGGTCCTTAGCTAATATGTAATTCAGTTTGAGTCGCACAATGATGCAAATGGGGTCTTTATACAACAGCAGCTAACCTCGAATTTGTGGAGTCGCAGCAATACATGTAATCCTGGAAAGAAAAGGTTTAACAATATCGACCTATTTACGATAAAACTTTTAGTTGGTTTCTAATAAAAATAACGATATACTTGGAGCCTATTTGGTGCTCCAGTGAATATAAGGGAGAAAGAGAGAGAGAGAGAGAGAGAGAGAGAGAGAGGGAGGGAGAGAGAAGAATGAAGCAGCGGGATAGGAAAGAATTTATACTTCCGCATCATCTGAATAATTTTCAGAAAAATCGTGTATTAAACCAAGATTAAAGTTCGTCATAAGTCAATTATCTGCAACCAATATCTCCTAGGTCCTTAGCTAATATGTAATTCAGTTTGACTCGCGCATGCAAAGTGCCAAACAACCTGTCAACATTTTCTAATATTTATGTCTCCATACGAGTATAGGATGCTCAAGAAATCTAACATTACTTTGTATATATAGTCATGGTATGTACATACATACTTACATATGTACAGATACATTAGCTGTAGAGCCCATGCCAGCAGGCATTTAAAAAGCAATTAAGTTAAAAACTAAAAAGATGCAGAAACGATATTCGTAAGTAGTTGTGTTTCTGTATTTGCTGAGCGATATGCGAGTCTTTGAAGGCAGTGTCTCTGTCGAATGCTTGGCCGGCTCTGTCTGTGGCGACTGAACTAATTATGAAAATTTTAAATAGGCATTTTGGCGACATAAATACTTTGTACTTTGTAAACATTTTATGTGGCACTGGAGGCGGAGCTGAAACAGTAGCAGTAGAAACAAAAAGCAAATGCACATAAATCACCGGATGTGGATGTGTCGTAGTTGTTGCTGTTGCTGATTCTGCTGCTTCCCATGACTTGCCTTGCACTGAATATATGTAGTATGTATCTGAAAGATACATATATCCACATGAAGGCCTGCCACAACCGTTCGTCGATGCGTCGTTGGCTGCCACTGCTGCAACACAAGTCGATGTTTGTATGTCTCCGCATGACGTTACGCTCTAAGTATGTCGTCGCTTCATATAAAGTGCCTACATATCATACATATACCTACTACATATAAAATGTACATATGTATGTATGTATATAGTACGAGTACGCTACCGACTTGTCGGCTCACCCTACAAACGGCAGCGACATTTTCGCGCCTAATTTAATGGAGAAAAATTCTGATATGGGGGGCTATGGCAGTTTTCATTATTATGGTTACTCAGTTCTTGAACAATGGGAGAGGCATTTGGCATATTGGGGATGGGGGAAGGCAGATGAGAGAAGAAGGAAAAAATAAAGAAAATGGCGTCCATGATTTTTGGCATGTATTTAATTGTGTATTTCGTTTGGTTCGAGGCAACACTTACAATTAATTTATGGCTGGCTATATATCTAAATAAAATATATAAGTAAAATTAATTGACTTACTGAGCTAGGAGTTAACATTTTGGCGCTTTAAATAATTTTAAATAGTATTTATTATACTTAGTAAGCTAAATGGAAAGTGCTAAAAAGTGCTGGCCGCTCGCCGCCCTCACAATGGAATTCTCGTCGTTATGGAAGCCCCAAACAACCACATTGGCATCATCACTATCCGTATCCGCATCAGTATCCGTATCTGCATTTGCATCCGCATCATGGACAGCACGGCCTTTGCTATGCCTTCTGATGCTGTGCATCGCCCTCCATCCGCCAGACTCCGAACAAATAGCTCAGCTTCTCCGGCGGTATGATTGGCGCACCATTCGCCTTGCGCAGACACTTGAGATCAGCCTCGGCGCCATTCGCGGCGGCGCTCAAAAGCGTGCTGGCATAGCTGGATCCATTTTGACCATTGCCACTACTCGCATCGAGCGCCTTCAGCAGGGATATGTCGCTGGAGCTGAGCATGCGGCAGAGAAAATCAATGTATCTGCAAAGGGAGAGAACCATTCAGTGGTGAGTGAATTGCGTAAAATCCCAGGCGCCGCTTTCGAACTCAGGTAGCTGCGCGGTTAAACCGCAAAACTGGGTTAAGCCCGACTTTGCCAAGCCGGAAATGCCCCGTGTCCTGGAAAACCAGTAACGCGAAACGTTCGCTTAATTGCCAAAAACTCACCTCGTGGCTAGCTTGAGCGTTTGTATCTTGCTCAGCTTATCGCTGGGCAGTGTGGGTATTATCTGTTGGAGGGCCTTGAATGCATCGTTGAGGCTCTGTGTGCGCTGGCGCTCCCGCACATTGGCCATCACCCGCTGGTTGCTGAACTCATCCGTTTCCTCGCACTTGCTGGGCTTCCGTTTGATGCGCCGCCGGGGCTTTCGGAATGCCTTGTTTCCTGCCGACTCATCATGAAGCAGGCTGCCATCTTCCGCCAGACAGTTGGGGCCTATGCCTAGCTCCAGATCCTCATCCTTGGCATAACCGCTCATAGCCGCGTAGCCATCGTCGCGATCGGAATTGGAGTAGGCGCTGCCGTTGAGCGAGTTGGCCGGCTCGTAGGCGTCGTAGGGCGTGGCAGGTGGCTGCTGGCGGTAATTGCTGCCGTGGAAGTGCAGCAGAGGCGGAACTGCCTGATGCTGTTGTGGCTGAGGGGCAGTGTGGCCGTTGTAGCTGCTATACTTGAATACATTGGTTTTGTGCTCGAGCAGCTCCTCATCCTCTGCAGCGGAAGAAAATTCGAAGTGGGGCGATGCGCAAGCGCTGTTCTGATTCCCTTGGGCCACCTCGTCCAATGTGGTGGGCAAGTAGTCCATGTATCCGTTTCCGTTTGGCTGTTGTTGCTGCACCAGCGATTTCTTGTGCTCCGGCTGGAGTAGGCTATTGGCGTAGTCGCTACTACTCCTCACTCGCTTGCCATGTTCGTTGAGAATGTAATCGTGGGAGGCGGTCAGTTCATCTTGCTGTGGTTGCTGGTGGTGGGCAAAAGTGTGGCAGCTGTTGTTATTGTTCAGCTCCATCGGCGGCCCATGCGGCTGTGTGGGCGGCGTGCCCGAGCTGTGTGCACTGTGATTGCTACTGGTGCTCAAAATCTCGCTGCTCGGTATGTTGTAGTCTGTCTCCTCCAGCTCTGTGATGCCATAGGCCGCATAATCTGCATAGTGCTGCTGCTGTTGCTGTTGTTGCTGCTGTTGTTGTTGTGTTTGCTGCACAGGTGAAGGCTGCTGCATGTAGTGATGTCCACTGGCCGCCTGCATATAAGCCTGCTGCTCCTCTTGGATCAGCTTAATTACATTGTGCTGCAGCTCCATGATGCTGGGCAGCGTTTGCTTGTAGCTTATATCGAGCAGCACCTTCGGCGACACGGAGCGCGCGCTCATCGTTCGTTGCCTCAAAGGTCACGACAGTCACAATATCTTTTATAACTATGCGATCCAGTTGTCAGGAATTATAATACACACACACACACATACATGTATATATATATATATATGTACACAAAACACGCGCGATGGTCCCCTAAATATCTATAGAGACTGTTGGTTCAGTCAGATTCGATTCGTAACTTCGCGTTAATCGTGCTAGATGTCTGAACGCACGCAATGACGAAACGCAACTGACGCACGCATCCTGCCGGCCATTGCTCAAGTCGACAATTTGCATTGCTCGTGCCCGATTCGCTCGCTGCTTGCTGCTCGTTGCTCTGCGCGCGCCGCTTTGCCACCCTATTGTCATCTCGCTCTGGCGCTCGCGTTTCGCGCTTGGGGTGTACCAGCCTATAGCGTCGGCTACGGCTTGACGTCATCATACCTGAGCGACAGCGGCTGCTGTGTAGATTTTCGGGTGGCCTTTTTCGCTTTGGTATTCCGCTTTTGGTTTTCCTTGGACACTGAAACGGCTGCAAATTTGTCTCTGGGTTTTGTCGCCGACAGAGCTCGGCGCAGCCTTGACATCGAGCTGGAATTTCTTCGAGCTGGGTTATTTCGCTGTGCTTAGTAAAGAAATGGAATGAACTCAAAAGCATCTAAGTATATGGACTCATAGAGTATAGTACAGATGGAAATTGTTTATGGGAATGCCTAAATTCAATAAATAATTTTATGGGAATGCCTGAAATAAATAAATAATTCCTCAGTTCTATAAACAAGTGCAGTTTTAAGGAATTCATTTGTCGATTCATTTTATTTGCTTCTCAAATAGTGGAAGTTTTGCAAAGTAATTTTATATCAAAACACGGAACTCTTCTCCTTTGCATATTAATGAGGAAACAACGAGATGTGAGCTGTATCGATATTGTTGAAGTTTTATTTTTAAAATTGCATTTTGCAAATACAGTAGTGGATTCAATTTAATTCGTTATCAAATTAATCCGAAATGATTCAGACAAAAGAATAATCTTAACATTTTTCATTGTAAATATTTTCGATAATGTTATACTTGTATAATAATAATAATAGCTGACTTGCTAGAAATGGTATAAAAAAGTATTCGCATTTATGAGTATTAAAAAAGTATAATCATTATGTTTTTTGTATGAAAATGTTTATGAGTGCAAGAAAAATATAGATATAAAATATAGATATAAAGATATTGAAAAATTCTAAAAACTGTTTTATGTTTAGTGTTTATGAAATGCCAATTCATTTAACAAAAAAAGGCAACTTTTTTGAAATACATAAATATCGTTGACTTTAATGGCGGAAAATGATTATTATTTTCCAAACCTTATATGCTTACGTAAATTATTATAAATAATAATATGAAACATTAATAGTCAACATTAGATTATATGTTGTAACATAATATTGAAAATGATTTAGTTGAGATATATACATATAGTTCTAAAAAGAGGAACGTATTTCAACGTATGGTCCGTCCGTTCCTATGGCATCTATTTGACAAAGTTGACCGATTCGCGTGGTTTTGACAAAGGGAAAAGAATGCAGTGGAATATGAATGCATATATTTTTGTTTTATTATTGTTATTATTATGCAGCGGAGTCGTCCTGCAGATTTGGCACGACAGTTTGACATTTTTAAATATTTAAATTTTTTAAATAATGATTTATGCGATGAATGTAGCGCCGTGATTCGAACCGAGTCATATACTCAGGAACGAACTCACATTTTGGGATTCCTGTTAGCTCCTTGAGCTATTTCAGGCCTCAGAATGTGTATAGCTGAGAAAATAGTTTTCATATAAGCTGACAGACATACTTGTACATACATACCCATTTGTTTATAATAGGGGCGTTCTGGGCATTACAAGTTGAAGACCAAGCCCAAAATATATAGGCGTATTTAGTAATCAATTAAAAATGAAGAAAATTTGCAATTACATATAAATTATTCATTTGGATTATACTGCAAAATAATGATTTGTATCTGTAATAAGAATAATAATTCGTGGTATCGAGGTAAGGTGTATGTATATATGTATATATTGTGAAGTGTTGCTTTTTTAAATCTTTCTTAAATCAACTAAATCTTTGAGCTTAGCCAGCGTTAAGCTGGCAGATTTCAGAGTCAACTGAATGGTGGAAAAGCGTCTCAACAAAGCAAGGAAACACGTTCGACTGACTTTTGGTTATTTTTGCTTACGTAATTGTAATTGGGGTTTCCTAATTAGTGGCTTAAATTGTTAAAGATTAAATAAGAAATTCGCTTTTATTTTTTAAGCTAATGAAAATACGTATTTTTGTAACTTTTGGAGAAAAATGATAATTTCTTAATAAACAAATGAAATGCAAACTTCTTTACACAATATCGTAGTGATATTATTATATAATTGGCGAACCATTATAAAGCACAAGTACGAGTAGTACACCAAAATCCAAGCCAGAAAACTCCACAAAAGGACTTAATTACACATAATTAGTAAATTTCCACACACACTCGCATACAACTGCAAGCAAGGGACCAATACGCACTGCAAACACACACTGCTAACAAGCTAGGATGGTCGACAGCGGAATGCTCTGCATGTGATAGGACCATTTAAGGTAATAAGCGTGTTAGGAGCCGTATAGATTTCTTAAAGTCTATGTATATAGTTTAGTCTACGAATATTGTACTGCTTACTTAAAATGTAGAATAGCGATTTAATTTATTTGCTAAAAGTGGTTTTATTATTATTTATCTACTTGACACAAAGAGCAAGAGCACCCATAAAACGAATACGTACGATGTGTGATGAATAGCGCACCAAAAATACGAGCAGAAAGTCAAATTTCCGGATATAATTATCCCCGTGCCTGCCTGCCAAAATACCCGATTGATGCCGGCCGCTGCTAACTTCCGCAAGTCCGAAGAGGGACGCAAGGGACAGAGTTAGAGTACCTACGAGATAGAAAAACCGTGCATGGGATTTTGCCTAGAACGCTTTTCCTCCCATACCTGAAGTTGCATTTTTTAATCGGTGCTTCTAATTTTGTTGCGAAGCCGTTTTAAGTACCTACTGCAGGAAAACTATAAAATAATCCTGTCGGCTGGTGAAAACTACTCGTATGTCCATAGTAAATCGGTTTTGGAAGCTCAACTGGTTTCATTACAGCACAGCTACAAAAAGACCCAAGAATAAAGCTCCCTGTAAAAATCTCTGTCCTAATATATAGCACAAGTACATTTATTATACATATGTTCCATAAAAAATTCATAGTATATATAATAATAAAATATTTATTATAATAATAAGTAATTCGAAGAATTTGCTGTTGAAGCATATTTTATTGAAATACAAATCACAATACATAAAGAAACAAGTAAAATAAGTGTTTGTGTATGTCTCGTGTGCTTGTGCAAAGCAGGAACAACAACAACAGCTGCAGGCAGTGCTTGGGCAAGGTGATATATATGGCTATAACTTCCTACTAAATCGGCCTATCATAATGACACTTGGAATACGGACTCATATTCACTAAGTGGAGAGATTTTCCGAATTTCAATGACAAATTCCAAGAATTATGGGAGTTATGGTCTGTGTATTTACATAAGGCATCTGGGACTAGATCCTACGTCCCTAGGTCTTATAGTCTCCGAGATATACATAGGTGATTATACGAACGGAAAATCGGAAATTGCCCATAGAGGGGAAGTGGGAGGGAAAATCAAAAGAATAAAACAAACTTGCACAGCGTACCCACAAAGTATACATATACAAGTATATTCTTGATCACTGTGACAAGACGAGTCGATCTAGGCTGTCCGTATGATGCCATACTTCCCCCATATGGGGGATTTTCCGATTTTCCGTTCGTATAATTACCTGTATCTCGGACCTAGGGTAATATGTATTTTTGAATTTCCCTCGACTTTAGCTTCTCCACTTGCTTACATTTGATTTGATATTCTTTATTGAGTCGGAGCTTCTCTGTAAACGATATTTGATGTTGTTTTCTTTGGTGAGTAAAATACAAGTATACCTATCGTAGGTCGATCCCTACTAATTCGACTTGTTGATACTTAGTTAATTCGAAAGATGTTTTTACCGGAAATAAAAGCCATATAAATAATCAAATGGGATTATCGGTATCCACGGTATATGAGCTAGTTGACCAGCTGCTGGGCTGTTGATAATAGTTGCTAAACTTAAATAGCCCTGCAATACCTTAGCCTCGCCCCAATCAAAAACCAAGTAATTTGCGTACCAAGTTTGGTTAATGTTTGAAAAATTATTTTTTGTTGCTATTGAAATATGTAATTCTTGTAATGTAATTAAGGGCATACTTTTGACCTTTACATAAAAATAATTTTTTGAATTTATAATAGAATTAAGAAGAGATCTACATTCTTTAATTAGCTTTTGTGGTATTCTCTTTGCGTTAACATTTGGCATGGCGTCTTTATTGATCGTGAGATTTGAATAGTATAGGAAGCGAGTCAAGATTATAATCAAGTAAGCACTCTGTGTGTGTGGCATTGCAAGTTTCATCCATATTTACGGACAGAAGGAGGCTTGGTAGACCCCACAAAGTATATATATTCTTGATCAGCATGACAAGCCGAGTCGATATAGCCATGTCCGTCTGTCTGTCTGTCTGTCTGTATGAACGCAAGGATCTCCGAAAGTATAAGAGCTAGAATAACCAAACTTGGTATACAGATTCTCCTGAGCCCGAGAAAGGACGAGTTTGTTCATTTTTTCTCCACCCCCCCCCCCCCCCCCCACTCTCACCCTATTAACGATTTTCTATAACTCCCGTAATTCTTGGAATTTTGAACTACAATTTGGTAGTCACATTAGGTTAGTGATTATATATCAGTATACCAAGTTTCATTATGATAGAATGATCGGAAAGAAAGTTATAGCCATATAACCAGGCCCAATGCACACATACATACATATGTACAAGTACACAAACATGCATAAGGCACGATTCTG